AAAAGCTGCCTGGTTTTTCCCTATTCAGCTTTGTAAAGTGTAGTTTCTAAAGTATATTTGCTACATGCGTTATGTAATAAAAACCTAGCAGCAGGGCAAAAGGCAGCCTTATAACCATGAACTTTGTTCGAGGTTTTCCTTCCATTGTACCTTATCAGTGTACAGCTTTGTGGTATGTGTGGATCTTTTTTGGACAACAGTTCAGATTGATTTTAACCACTAGGGAAGTTAAAGCCCCTGATGAGTTTTTCCCTTCCCTGTCCATAAAAGCTGTACAATTGGGGCGCAACTGGATGTGTTGGCATCAGAATAACGCTGGACACATAATGTAGTGCCCAGTTACCGTTCAAAAGCCTTTATGCAAAAACGAATGGGATATGAAAGTCTGACTCCTTTTTCCTCCCATCCCCCGAAACAGACTCCAATGGCTGTCTTGCAAAGCTTGTTAATAAGTGATCCCCCGTAACACGTTTGGGAAGCAATAACAATCAATGCTGTTCGTTTTAGCTAGCTCTGGGTATTGTACTGCCCAGTTGGGATCTGATCTGGTTGGGTTTAACCACTTCTGTGCTTGCCCGTTTCTCAAACTATATGAGAATTTATTTTTTCAAAACAATTGCCTCTGGCAGTAGATACAAAAACTTTCACCTCCTCTGCAGTCACCATTGTTCGATGTGAGAGATGGGGCGCGGGGGGAGAGGACGAGACGGAATGAATTCTAGAGGCATTATTGGTTTGGAAATCTCATAAAACTCTGTGAAATTTGGTGCATGTCAACTATTTCCAGGCAGTATCCTCGCCTTTTGTTGCAAGAATGGGATGTGTTTGAATGTGGGGTAGGTTCTCTCGATTTTTCACTGGGTACTGTGCATTTTGCCTCTTTGCTTTGGTCCTTTGGGGGCTGTCCCTGCTGAGTGCCGGGCACTAACAGAGCCGAGGTACGGGGGCAGCGTTAGCCTTTGCCATTGTTTCTGTTATGATTTAGCTTTCAGAATGATCAGGGCACCTCTACCAACTGTGTGACTGACAAGTCCAGCGAAAGACTGGCCTATCTAATTGCGTTCATTACTTCTAACTTTCACCATATCAGCCAATATGAGCAGTAAGAGACAAGGTTAGCAGAGTAATGATACAAATCGCCCTGCTTTTAGCCTCACTGCAGCATGACAGTCTAATATTTTCAATGGCGTTGCAGAGCAAGCCACACCATGCATGGAATACAATCGATCTGGACAACTTTGACCTTCTAATGTTTCCACATTTTAATCTAATAACTAACTTTTCTGTGTGTGATACGTGAAAAATGTAAAAACGAGGGTGTTATAAAAGTGCGAAATTTTTATAGGAAAATGCATTTTTAATGGTAGCCATTTAATTGATCCACGTTTTAACTAGACAAGTACATATAGTGGAAAGAAATACACAGTCCATCGCTGGATATGAAAAACTACTTTAGCAGTCACCAGCTCTATTCGATACCTTGAAAAAGCACAAAACTACTTCAAAGTACACCCCCCGGCCATCTGCAGTAGTTAGTAAGTAAAAAGTATATTTACTTAGGTAAAACAAAAAGCATTTGCAGTACTACTGCGTTCTGAAAATAAAAATGCTGCTGAACATCTTTTAAATGGGATTGAACTTTTAGACAGAAAGACAATTGGAAAATAATGTAACTCAAATTTCCTTAGTCAGGTATCAGACCACCTCTTTCCCCTCCATTCTTTAAACCAGAGTTGTTCCTTTGCCAGGATTATTGTCAGGGCATAGTCAGTTTCAGTTATTGTTTTGTACAACTTTGTTTATCTCCTCCTTTGGAGTTTGTCTGAGGAATTCTCTTCACCTCCCTGCCTGTTTGGAAATATTCACTGTATAAATGTCTCTGCTAAAGATCATTTTAACAAATGGAAATGTTAAAGTGTCATCGCACTGTGACAGTAAGGCATGTTTGATACACTGGACAGGGAATGTTTATTTCAAGATATTTTAAGTTCTAGTCAATAACTTGGATCCGCCCGGGAGCGAAATATTTGACGTGCAACGCCTTGAACACGTTTAATTATGGGGTAGTAGCAAGCCAGGGCTTCAAAGTAATTAGAAAATACTTCTTGGGAGACAGACTAATCGCTTTTCATGGGGCACTTCAAAAAAAATTAACCCCGGGTGCTTGTTTGAGCAAAAACAACTTTAGGTCAGCAAGACCTGATCTCATTGCTTGATCCTCTGGACGATCCAAAAGAGATTCGCTGCGTCCTTTCCCTCCAGACTCGCAAAGACACATTTGAATTACCCTCCACCCAAACCAACAATAACAAAATCCTTCGCAATACTTTCCGTGTGAGAGTTTGGGTGACACAAAAGCAATGTACAAACGAATGATCTTATAAGAGGGGACCTGCACAGGCGAGGAACTGACCGTCTCTGTGGTCCTGCGGACTGAAAGGGGAATGAAAATCCAGGAGTTGGTTGCCCAGATTTGTGACTGGAGGCTCCAGAATTTCGCTCGATAAGGGTTTCCTACAAACAAGACTAGATTGTGCTCTGTGAAGTTACGGAGAAGACAGACGTGTGCTTTCACCCTCCTGGTTTTTAGCCCATCTTGGCATTCCCCATTTGACTCCAGCTGTCGAGCACTAAAGATAGCCCATAATTACCAGTGCTAAGTCAATATAACATCATCATCACCTTCACCATGCGTGGGTACCATACATTACTCTGTGTGGGCTTGCTTCGGGTCCTTCCCTGTTGGGAAATCTAATTCATTTGAGGTGGGGGGTTTTTTTTGTTCCGTTTTAGCTCAGACAATTGCAGCTCGCTCTCTCCTTGCACCTGAGAAAACGGTGCCGCAAAGAACAAGGCAACAGCAAAAGTTGGAACCTGGTGGGTAAAGCGAGGGCTCAAGAACCGGCCCGGGGGGGAGGGAATTGGTTCTGCCGCCTCCGGCAACTTTCCTGGTCTCCCAGCTCTTCCTCCCTTATATCCGCGCGCTCTCCTCCCAGCCTCCCTGCACTTCTGTCGGCCTCCCAGACCTCTGCCTTCCTGCCCGTGCACGCTTCTCGGCTTCCCGGCTCCTCTCCGGAGCAGGGGAGGGGAGACGGGCTGCCGGGGCGAGGCGAGAGGACCGTCTAGCTTTGCAACCCCGGGAAGGGCCGGAGCTGCCTCCTGATTGTCTGTGTTTTGGCCCCTCGCCTTCATTTTGTCTTTGGCGCTGGCTGGCTTTGGTGCCCGCCGATCACAACAGTTTTTTGGCATCGCCTCTCTCCATTCTCTCCCCCCCTCCCCTTCCAGGGTGTGTGTGTGTGTTATTAAAGCGGCACTAACTCTCCTGCGCTTCATTGACCTTTTGGTGACTTTCACAAATTCAAGACCAGCCAAGCAAAGATCCCGCGGATCGCAGCTGATTATTTTTGTTTTGTCTGTGGGCGGATTGTTTAGGGCGGTGGGCAGGAAAATTCTTAGCAACAAAAGAATGAGATTTTTGGTAACGCCAATAGGAAGGTAGGGAGTGGGGGTGGGTAGAGAGACCCACTTTGAAACTACACGTGAGACCCCTTCAAAATTACGTAATCCCCCCTTTCCAACCCAGATAGACTTTGATCCCAATTTTTGGTTTCACGGGATTTCTTTCTAAAGACAAAGACAAGCAAATGGACATCGCGGCAGCTTTTCAATACGAAAAATTAGCATTTGATTATTTTGAGGAAGAAAAAAACTTCGGGGGGGGGGTGCGATGAGGGGGATGGGGCTCCGGGGCAGAATCGCGTCGCATTGCCTGTCCATGGGAAACCTCTCTGTTTAATATTGTTTCTGAAGCTGGAATAAATGATCAAAGGCTTCTGTCCAGCTTTCAACAGAACGAGTCAATTATCATTCCCACTTCTGTTTATTTCCCTGACGCCGCAACCAGCACCACCACCTCGAACATTAGAAAAAGAAGCCACCTTGTCTCCCTGTTATATTTGCACTGGTCTTCTGCAGGGTGTATTTCAGAATCAGGGAAAACGGAGGAGGGGAGAGAGTAGGGAGCGTACGAAAGAGTTGTTCTAAAATTAACTGCATCTGATTTTTCCCCTTTGCAAATAAAGGGGCTGCAGAAAAAATCCCTTTGTATCACACAGCAGCTCGTTTAATATTATTTATGCATTTGTGCAAGGAATTGTGGGATTTCCCCCTTCTCCCTCCCCCCCCCATGGTAAACAATATGGAAATAAAAAAATTGTATACTGGAGGCTTTTCTAATGAATCAGACAAAGATATAAAGCGAAAGAGATCAGCAGGGCAAGTGGTGATGTATCTATCTGTTGTTTAGGGGGTTAGCTAGTTCTGCATTCTCTCTCCTTTAAAAAACACACACACACTCGAGTAGAGAGGACACTATTGCTTTAAAAGAAGGGGGAGGGGGCAGATAGAGGGAAAGGGGGGGCGGCTGCTGTCATTTACTAGAGTGCTACTGTATCACGTGTGGAAATGCCTCCTCTGCCATTGGCCAAAGGCACGTGTCTAGGATACCGGGCTTGCAACGTCACTTGAGGGGCTCTATTAAAAATAAGAACAAAAATCCAGAGTGAAAGTATTGCAGGTTCAGTTTAAGTGGCTTCTAAATTTATACCCAAACTATAGAGAGACCGAGAGAGATTTTTCCTAACTCCTGCCACGTAACCTGGAATATTTTATTCCGAGAGGGGAAAAGAGAGAGAGCTGCCTTGCTTGTACATATGTCTCTGTGTGTCTCAGCCTGCGTGCGCTGTGCGGTGTGTAGAGAGAAACCTACACCCTCTGCTAGAGTCTCTCTCTCAGAGCAGATGTGACAGCATTGACATTTTTATTATTCTTTTTATTTTTCCCCTTGAAGGATCTTCACCATTTTTTTTTAGGATACTGTTGGCCTCTTTTTTTCTTTTCAAACCCAGGAGCTGGAGAAGAGAGAGCGAGAGAAAGAGAGAGAGCGGGGGTGGGGGGGGGCGGAAAGGGTTGTTAATGAAAGTCCTAATGATGAACACATTTTGGGGGAAATAATGCATTGGTTTGCAGAACTGAAAGGCTAACAAGCGGAAGAAAGAAAAGGAAAGGAAAGAAGGGGGATTTAAAAACAACGTTTTGGCTAAAGTTCGAGCACACCCGAGGCTCTGCTTTCGCCAACTCTGGATTTTGAATGTTCTTTGAACTGAGTGGAGCCAGGGAACAAACAAACAAACCCACGTTTTCTAAACCCCACTCGCTCTCGCACGGAAAGGGCTGGGGGTGGGGGCTTAACAAGAGAAACATTTGGGGATTTGTTCTACAGCATGGAGGAGAATGACCACAGTCCTAGGGAAGAAGCCCTGGAGCAGCAGCAGCAGGAGTCCAGCAGCGGCAGCAGCAGCGATGCGGAGCCCAACAGGAGCCGGGCAATGATCCTGCCCGTGGTTCTGCAGGCGCCTGGGAATCACCAGCACCCGCACCGGATCACGAACTTTTTCATAGACAACATCCTGAGGCCGGAGTTCGGGCGGAGGAAGGAAGGGGGGACCTGCAGCAGCGGCAGCAGCCCGGAGCAGCTGCTCTTAGCCGGCAGGGAGAACCGACGGAGTCCCTCTACGGCGCCGGGATCTGGGGGGCAACTCACCGGCGGAGGGGGAGGCTCCCCGGGCGAAGGAGAAGGAGGCTCCAAAGCCCTTGCTCTCAATGGGGGAGCCAAGAAAGGAGGCGACTCCGGGGCCTTGGAAGGAGCCTTGAAATCCCGGGGGCTAAGCGGCGGCGATCTGTCTGTGAGCTCGGACTCTGATAGCTCCCAAGCCAGCTCCAACACCAGTAACCAGCCCATGCTCTGGCCAGCCTGGGTTTACTGTACTAGATACTCGGACAGGCCTTCTTCAGGTAAGACTTCTCTTCAGGCGTAGCCTAGCACTTGCCAGGAGCCCGGCCTCCCCTTCCCCTTACCCCCTGGCCCCACTTCCCATTTCACAGGCTGGTTTCCACCGAGCCCCTCTCCCTCTCTCTATATCAACCAACCATGGAATCAGTGAAGCCTAAGCTGATCTTTCCACATGGTTCTTCGGAAAATATTTGGTTGGTTGAAAAGCGACGAGAAAAAAATATTGTCACCCAAATTAAAAAAAAAACCCCGCAGAGAAACAAGTTAAAAAAACGTATTTAAATGTAATGAGGATATGGGGATGCTTTGACTATAGGGAGATGAAAATGAAAGCGGGTAAACTGGAAAATAATTCCTCCTGTCTACACACACACAAAGCGATCAGCAGTTAGCTTAGCTAGATCTTAAAACAGAGAGGGACGGTGCTAGTGTGAGGATTTGGGTTTTGGCATGGTATTAAAAAGAAAAGGTGGGAAAGAAGCCATTAAAGCCCATTCTTTGAACTCCACGGAGATCCTCCAAGGAATCTGCCCATCTTCTCCTTTCGAGTAAAATCCCGGGGTTTGTTTGGAGGGTGAGGAGTGGAATTCATATATCCAGCTGCCTATCCAATAGGCCTTGCATTGTACATTTGCAAAATCCAACTATTTTTATTGTTTTAAAATAGGCCCTTAACTCGCCCTTGTCTCCTTTCTCTATTTTGCTTTCTGTAATTTTCACACGTGTACTTTAGTTCAGATCTTTATGGGAATAGGAAAGATTTCCAGAGGATGAGAAAGTTATTTCAGGGGATCTGGGAAGGCGTGCCTGCTGGAGTGAGATTTCAGAAGAAACTCCAGAAATTCTCTCTCTGAAGAGGTTTAAAACCCACAGGGCGAATTTCATTGTTTTAATGCAGGAAAAGCAGGAGTGGATCTAGGTTTTTTTATTTTTTTTAACCTTCATTCAAAAGAATTAGAAACCTCTTTAAAATACAGTTGTCTAGGCTGTAAAACAGAATTAAAAAAAATATATTCACAAAAAAGTATTTTCCAACAGCGATTAGCCAGTCCCTTCCCCAACCCCCACCCCGAACTGCTGTACAGTTGAACATAGGAATGCAGGTTGGATTTAAAAATAGTTTGTAATAAATGAGAACTAACTCTTTAGCTCCAATATTCCTGTCTGAATTGAAATTTACTCCATTGTTCTCCACTCCTCTCCTTTGTTAATATTTAATTAACATATATCCTCACAATGGCACAGGCCAGAGGGAGAACCCTCGCTGGTGGTGTGTAGAATAATATTAAAGAGAATAAATAAAATAAAATAATAATAATTAGGATCGTACTTTACGCGACATTTTGAGCCATGCAAAACGCCAATCCACTCCCTGTTACAATGTAAATAAACGTTTGGATTTCTGTATTATCTCGATGTAATGTAAAAAAGAGGGTTTCTTAACAATTCTGTTTAGGGGATAAAATATAGATATATATTATTGCTTCTAGATACACGTTTCACCTTTCAGCAGCGAAGCCATTCCTGGGTTTAAAATACTTAATTTAACGCGTTTGTATTTTTAAAAATCCCAAAGAAATTGGATCCTTTGCAAGACGCTTTTTTTCTGAAGATGTGTTTTGGGTAAATATAGAGAGAGAGAGGCTACTGGGGACACTTATGAAAAGGGAGAGAATTACACCATAGCCCTGGACACTTCAAGTTTCCTAGACAATGATACAGACAGAGAAAAGAGGTGAGATCGAGAATCCTTAGCAAAACTGGAGAGCTGGTTGGCTCTTTTTACAGTATTTGTTTCTTTTTATTTCGAGCACAATGCCAGGGTCGATTTGAAGCAAAGAGAAAGGGACAAAGATTGGTTGTTGTTGTTTTTTTTAAGCTGAAGATTATTTCTAACCAACGCCTTTGGAGCTGGGCTGGTTGGTTATGGAAACGTGGCACTAAACTAGAAAAAACAAACCTGCCCCATAGGCGTAGAGGCAGAAATATGTAAATTAAAAAAAATCACAATACGCCAGCAACCTAGGAATTATTGATGTAAGAATCCCCGTTACAAACAGGGCTCGATTTTCCTTTTTAATACCTTGTGGGTAATAATTAGGGCTTTTAAATAGATGTATATAAAATAGAATGGGAGGCTGCGGAGAGGGAATTGTAATTAGGAAGATGGTTGACACTTTCCCAAGCATTTGTGGTCATTATGTGGCCTATTTGCACTGTATATTATACCTACTAAAGCTGGGAACTAATCAAGTCCAGTGTATTCCCATTTTGTCTTGTGCAGGATAGATCCACTTCCTGGCTGGCTTTGTCAGTCATATTTCAGCCTGTGGCAGAACCCGTCTTCCGCCCTTTGATTGACTTGTCACCAGCCAGAAGCCTTTTTTCTTATTGCTTTAAACCCGCGGGTTTAGGTGCTGTTTACAGTTTGCTAACTGCGGTGATGCTCACGTGTCCCTGTGCTTTCAGGGATCTGACTTTTACAGACGCCATATGGATGCCAAAAATTAGGATCATGTGTAAAATGTCAACTGACCTGGTCCCCTCTTGGAGAGGGGTGTCAGGAAGCTCGCGTGGGCCGAGCAGAGAGTCCCCAGGGCCTTCCTGCAAAGTGTAACACAAAATCAAGGGGGGGGGGGCAGAGAGGGAAAGAGAGCCAGAGATCGCTGAAGCTGGGATTGCTTCTCCCCTTGCCAAAATATCCACTCACATACCCAATTCTCCACAGATTAGAGGTCATCCACAGTAGCATCCCCCCAAGGAACGACTTCCAGAAATGGAGCTGGCAAATACACACCAGCATTACCCTGCAACTTCCCACAACCCACCCCAGCCCCACAGCCTCCACCCCAGGGATGCGGACTGGGTCCTTCTTTGTGGGGCGTTCCAGCGGCTGCCCCACGCAGGGGAGAGTTTAAGTCCCAAAGATGGTGGTTAAAAAGGAAACAATGAACTTGGGTGGATGTGACTCCCATGTCTCATGCAATAGTCCAGCTGTGGAAAGTGGCTTTTGTAGAGGTGTTTAGGCCTGTGTCTGCCTCCCTCCTGCCCCCGCTCCCTTCTTTTCCCTTTTGCAAGAAGCTCTGGGGCCCCAGGCTGCAGCTCCCCTTTGGTCACCAGACTGCAGACCCCGAATTCCTCTTGCTCACCAGGCACACCGCAGACTCATGTCTGCCCCACTGCCCCCCGCCCCAGGCATTCAGGGAAAGGGGGGAGGGGAGATCGCTCTCTCTCTCCTCGCAAGGGTTGATCTAGTGACTTCAGGGTGAAACTCTCTCGCCAAAGCAACGCGAAAAGAGGCGAGCAAGGCCTTCAGGTCATTCCGTGTCCGGAGCTGCTGGCTGGGCACAGAGTACCAAGTGGCACCCATACTCATGACCTCAAGTCCTCAAATTTCTTTGAGATCATTTCTCCCGCCCCTCCCCGCCCAATAATCATAAGATGTTGCCATTTCAAACCAACCAACCAACCTCTCACTCCCGGGCACCCTTTCCAGCCCCCCCCCCCCTCGGCCCCATCACTTCTCTTGTGTGTGTTTCTTATGATTTTTCTTTCGCCCTGGACCTCAGGCCCCCGGTCTCGTAAACCAAAGAAGAAGAATCCCAACAAAGAAGACAAGCGTCCCAGGACAGCCTTCACCGCGGAGCAGCTGCAGAGACTGAAAGCGGAGTTTCAGACGAACAGATACTTGACGGAGCAGAGGAGGCAAAGCCTGGCTCAGGAACTCAACCTCAACGAGTCTCAGATCAAAATCTGGTTTCAGAACAAACGAGCCAAAATCAAGAAAGCCACTGGCAACAAGAACACCCTGGCGGTGCATCTCATGGCACAAGGACTGTACAACCACTCCACCACATCAAAAGACGGCAAGTCAGACAGTGAATAGAAAGGGGGCCGGGGGAAGGCCGGGGAAGGGGGCAGTGTTCAGTCAAAGTTTATACAATGCAATAATTTAATTAAAAAAATAAGGGCCAGTGTATAAAGATTATACCAGCATTAATAGTGAACATAGTGTGTATTAGATATAATTCTGCAATATTCTATGTGTATATAATTTACAGGTAAGGTGTAAAAATCCAAAATATCTGATTATAAAATATTTTTGATTTTGTTTTGTTTTATTTTGGTTCTATGGAGATTTTAGATGGTATCTTTATGAATTTTTTTAATGCTTAAGTTACATTTTTATAGACTTAAGCGCTGTTTTAATGGACATTGGACACTGTTTTTTGAAATTCAAAAAAAAAATTAAAAACAATTTTTGCTGAAGTCCAAAGATTTTTATTGCTGCATTTCACACGACTGTGAACCGAATAAATAGTTCTCCGGTTTGTTCGATGAGTTTTACCATTATTATTTTTTTGTGTTTGGCTTCGGGGATAGAAAACAATGATTTAATTTAAAAAAATGTAATAGGGAAAGAAACCCCAAGGCATTGTATTAACAAAAATGTCCAGGATCCTTTCTTTAATTTGCCCTCACTTCTTCATTCGGTTGGGCTCAATCAAAGGCTAGAGGGTGTACATGATCTGAGAAAGCTGGCCAGCAAGGGATGGGGGCGATCAAGGAGTTCATTTAGCGCTTAGTTGATTTTTTTCCCTTCCCCGTAGCTTGGTTGGAAAACTTTTGAAGTAAACATCACAACTTCCGGGAGAATGTCATAGGAAGCGAACAAACAAAAACACCCTTTTCCATATGAAGGAAACTTTTCTTTTGGGTCTTTGCCGTGCGTGTGTGCGTGCATTATTAGACAATAACACACTCATCTATACAAACCTGCACAGATCCCTTTTCCCGTTAGTTCATCGCATTTTGTAGCTTAGACGCTTCTTCTCTTGCCCCCAGGAAGGCGTTGTCCTTTAGCTGGCAGGCGGCAAGTAGCCTAGGATGACTTTTGCAAAAGGCTCTGGTTTGCCTTGGACAAATCTACACCAGACCGCAGTGCAGGGCTGCTGGTATTTGAAGCGTGGGGGGGGGGGGGTTCGTGAGTGCCGGCTTCCCAAGGACAGCACGGAGTTGCACAATGTTTGGGGAGGAACAGGTTCTCGTCAAAATCTGTCTGAGAACCGGTGGTATAAATTAGTAGACGTATCTTTAAGATCTCCTGCTTGTCTCACTGCTGTGTATACAGGAAACTGATTGCAAAAATACTTATCAAGGCTATTGGATAAAGAACGTATACAACTTATTGGGTGAAAAACTGGTAAACCCATCAACTTTGGCTCTTAACTGAAAAAAAAAATCAAACTGAACAATGACTATATAAAAAAATGCATCCAGAAAGCCTCTTCCTGTCCCATTGCCTCCACACAGGCAGTTTTGGTCCAGGAAAACACCAGATCAAGAGGGGCTGTGGGAAAGGAGAATTGGGGCACTTATTTCAGCACCACCGACCTCTATTATGCAGGATGGGTAACCCATAAGAAGGGAGGGGATCTCTCATGTCCTGTTTTGATCAGAAAGACAGAGGAGCCCATCACAAGCAGTGGTATTTTATTTTAGAAAAATCAGTAGCCTAATATTATCCAGTGACAAATATCTGTCGGTCTAGAATATGGGGCAGGTTTTAAATCAAACATATCTATTAAACTGAATAGTAATATGAAGGGACAGTCAGTGTAAATAAACATTTCTTAGCATTTGGGTTTTGGTTTGTTTATTTCCCCCCTGGCAATTCTAGTTTCTGATTTGAAAACGTGGCACCGTGTAAACTAAACATTTTCAAGGTTTGTATCGTTCTTTTAATAGTTCTCCCAGTTCTAGATTCTTCCCCTCCCCCTCCCCGGTTTGGAATAAAGTGTCCAAAATGTTGGCCAGGGCCACAAGGCACCCCGAGTGGGTGTGTATTGTACAATAATTCAGGACTATAGTCTCCTTGATGATTGAGGGTGAATTTATCGCTTTGCCTTAAAACTTCTTTATTTCACAGCTATAATAGACACACATTGTACATATTAGTATAAACTTTAAAAAAGAAGCAAACTATAAAATAAAAGCTGTAATTTTAAATTCTGTGAATAATCATCAGCTGCTTAGGAGACAGGATTAAATGACATTGCCTTTTAGCAAGAAAGCAAAGATTTTTTTCAGTTTATAAAACGTGCATTTTACAATTGCAGTATCAAATATTTATAATCTTATGAAATATGAATGTTTCTATTTACAACTGTGGTCTCAAAATTGTGAACATTCTCACTGCATTTTGTGTGTTTAAATTCTTGAAGATTGCATTAAATAAAAACACTTTATTATGAAATACACAAAGTGTGACTTAAAACGTTGGAATGGTGTTTTATATATATATTATATATAGAGAGAAAGTCCTTAAAGTGTATTTCTGGGTAATGAGAGAATTGAACTGGAGTCCAGTTTAAAAGTACTAAGTGGAGTAAACCATTTCTATGGGTGTGAATAGCAATTTACTAGATGGACAATTTTGCAAGCAGACTACGTTCAATCAATTTCTTGAATAATTAAGAAACTTTTGATGATTCACATTAAAAATAAAGTCAGGGCAACCAACGTCATTAAAATGATCACAACTTTAAAGTGTTCAGTATTCGTTAAAAAAAGTATTTAATCGCATACATTGTCAACAGGTTTCTATTTTCAGACTTTTAAGATAAATATCCAGTTGTGTGATGTTTGGAAAACAACTCTTGTAAAAGATGTTCCCGACCTAAAATTATACAAACTCGTAAACCTGAATCCAGCTGTAGTAATGTAATGTAAGTAATGACAATAACTCTAATGTCTTAATTTTTTAAAGAATTGATAACACTGTTAACCTTGAAAGTTGCAGTAAAAGTAGTACGATTTTAGGACAGCTGAATAAGACGGGTAAACAAAGTGGCCATTTGCTGAGATGCAACAGTATGCACAATTTCTCCAAATATTTAAGCCTATATTTTTCTTAAATAGGACTAATTTAGGGAGAAAGGGTTTAATATCCAGAATCTTGTTATCAGAACTGGTTCCTGCTGTAAAAAATTTAACACAAACTTTTTTTTTTTAGAAATGGATAATGTGGAAAATATCTCCCTGAGGCAAATATCTCCATTGATTTAGACAACGTCTAAGAAAGAAATTATTCCAGTATTCCACAAGTCTTGTTAATACTTTTAGCCACCTACAGTCAGTAAAGGTTTGAACTGTCTATGGACAGCCAATTAATTGTAACAGAAGGAGAGATTGTAAAGCTTTCAGTTAGGAAGCAGGATTCTGGATTTAGAGTTTGCAAAACTTCTTGCACGTGTCTTTGAAAGGGTTTTTATCAAACTAAGCATTGAGGCAGATGAATTACAAACTTGGGGGAGAAAGTAAGTGTTGGCTGGAATTAAAAATTACTACTAAAGAGCAGTTTAGATCTGAAATGAAAATAGCTGCATTTGTCCAATTTAACAAAGGAGTAATGTATCTGGTATATATCCTCTACAAAGGGCCAGTTACACCAGGGCATTACTAACGAAGTCAGTGGGGCTGCATTAGAAGAGGATTGGGCTCATCTTATAACTGTGTAAAAGGACACACTTTACACCTGTCTTACAGTAGCTCGCATATCAGGCGATAAATTGTGCCACCAATGATTTCTTTAGAGGATACATTCACGAAACTGCCTGTCATAGGATATGTATTTAGTTTTAGAAAAAAAAAGTATAGGGCTAACTTTTCACGCCCTCATTTTAAGAGAGCTAGTAAGTTCCACAAGAAATCAGCACGACCAGGAGCAGAAAATGTCTTGATGCTGCCTGGATTGTATCCAGTCCATAATGCAGAATATCTGCAGTAGGCAATAACCGTTCTCCTTAACAGAGGACATAGAACCTAAATCTCCCCACCCCCATTTTATATAAAGGCTTTAATAAAAAGATACATTGGCGACAATGTCGGATTTATTCCGCCTTTTTTAATAATTTTCACGTATTGGTTGTTTCAGCCCACTTACAAATGAGTACTTAAAAACGAAAGCAAGCAGCTCCCTGCTGTTTTTGGATTTACAGCACAGCTACGTTAGTCCTGGTTATTTTTACATTTGAAATTAATTTGACAGAAATAGATATAGTACCAACGCG